AGACTGTTTATTCTAGGGAACTATAAATGCTGGATCTTATACAGTGGGTTAGACTAGGAGAAAGCAGGTCATAGTGGTGAGGATTAGGACTCTGGAGTTAGATCCAGTTCCACTCACTTCGTGTGTAGCCTTGAGCACATAGCCCTTAGCCCCTCTGAGCCTCAGTTTCTGCATCTGAAAAATGGGGGTAGTGTCGGCCCCACCACACAAGGTTGCAATGAGGACTAAGTGATGTACCTACAGCCCCTCAAAATCATCAGCTAAGATCATGCAGGCAAAAGAAGAAACCTCATATTTTTCTTCTAGGAAATGCCACAATCGTAGCCTTTCAAGGAAGCTTCTGACAACTGACTCAGATGCCCCTGCAAACGATGGTCCCCATCCGAGGCCTAGGAGGATGGGAAGGGACATCAATGAGACGGTGGCAGGCTGTGCAGTGAGCAAGGGACCATAGCCCTTCCCTATTGGTCCTAAAGTCAGAAGAGGATTTATTCGGTTTTATTTTAAACAGTGAGTCTGCCCCCGGTTTGAGGCCAATGGGACCAAGACAGCCCAGCGGCCGCCAGGGGGCGCTCTCTCGGGGACCCGTGGTGTCAGGGTGGGTGCGGGGCTCAGCACACCTACCAGATCAGGGAGAGGCCCTCTGTGTCTCTGCAGGGAGCAAAGCCCCGGGGCTTCTATGGAGACGGCCCTTGCCTGGCTGTTTCCAGGGTTCCCTGGAGGGACAGCCGCCAGCACCTTCCCCTCCCGGCTGCTTTTGCACTGTTTGCAATGACTGTCCTCAATGTAGCTCCCCCACTGAAGAGGTAAAGGACTGTGAGCATGCGTGTAACGTGTGTTACAAGTGCCCTCTCCCCAGCCCCGTCGCTGTCGCGTGCGCAGGCATCATCCAGCTCACACAGGCACCAGGGCCTCTCTGCGACTGTTTCAAGGATGTAAGAGCTTTCGGTACAAAGCTCACCACAGAGGAATACACAGGGGGCACTTGGACCCCAAAGGAGAAGAGTCACCCCATCCGTAGTGACCATGATGATGATAATTATAAGGAAAGAACGGCTCTATAGCGGATGTGACTTCTGGGGTGCACCTTAGCGGCTGTTAAGGAAGGGGATTCAGGCAGGAAATAGAGGCTGGTGGCCATGATGGAGCTTGCAACTCGCTCCCCCCCCCCCTCACCATACCCCCCCCACCCCTGCCTCCACCCCACCCCTACAACACACATCTCAGATTGGCACTTTAAAATTTGGAACATGGAGAAGGTGCAAGTGGAGGAGGTTGTTTCATAGAAAGTTAGACCATGAGCTGGAAGGAGGCCACGATGCCTGTACAAATGCGGAAACACGGCCCAGAGAGGTAAAATGGCTTGTCTGAATCATACAGCCAAGCAAGTGCAGGGCTGGGGGGCACGGGTGGGGATGGTGGGGTGTCTGGAAGGAAGAGGGAATAGCACCCAGACTTCCTGCCCCCCCCCTTTCTCCTCTGGCACACAGCCTTTACTATGAAATTAAGCATTCAACGTGGGTGAGGGAGGATTTGTAACTCCAAGTGGATGCTGGGGGCGGGAGGTGGGGGGGTGTTAAAATCCCTCTCGTGAGCTAGGGAGGAAGTGTCCTGTTTCCTTTCTGTGGTCCTGGAACTGAACTGGAGTTGAATGATCTCAGTCCCTTGTTTCTAAAAGAGGAGTTGCAGAAAGTGGGGTGGTTACTCTTTCTCACTCCAGCAGGGGGCGCCTGTGTGGATTTGTGTTTGGGAGCAGAGGGGAGGAATCTCCTGTGCAAAAATGGGGTCAGAACGGTGCTATTTTAATATTAGAAAATAGCTGTCATTAACTTGCAATCCCCTCTAACCTGAATTTTCTTTGAAAGAGCTTTTATTTTTATTTGTAAGTTGTGAAGAGAGTATGAGAGTTTGCATCTCCTTATTTCTTGGAGGTTTGAAATAGTCCAGCTCTAGGGTGACCCACCCTGGATAAACTCTAGCCCAGAAAGTTCCAGGATGGTCCTAGCCCCAGTCAGTGCTTCTTAGAGAATTCTGCTGTGTCCACACCAGCCAAGGGAAGGGCCGACTTATGAAAATACAAGGTGCGAGCCCCATATATTTCTAGGATAAACTTGACAAAAGCATTTTGTAAAGACTGGTTATTTATTCCTGGCATCTGGCAGCTTTGTTCACCTTTGCATAGAAGCACCAAAGGTCAGAGGGAAGAATGGATTCCTCAAAATATGAACCGATCTGCAAATCAGCAAATCTTTACTGATGGCCCACTGTGTCTGAGACGGGGTTGCTGACCTTTAGGGACTTCTATTCATTCCAGGAATTAATAGACCAATTCTCAGAGTTATTAGGAAAGACAAGACAATAGATCAAGCACTGCATTATGCATAAACAAAGTCTGGGCATATTGACAGGAATGGAATGAATACAGATCGGGATTATTAGGCAGGGCTGTGCAGGATGAGGAACTAAAGGTGGGGAAGATGTGGCTGGATTGGGGAGGGGAGGGGAAGCTGAGATACAGAGGCGCGAATAAGAGTGATGAGTTTATTGTCAGAGGGAGGCTTGAAAGAACTACAGCCTACAAACCAGTATACAGAGTACAAATCCAGTTTTGAAGAAATACGTTTTATTCATATGCAAAGAAAAAATGACTGTAAACAAACGTATCAAAATCTAGTAGTGTTTATCACACGATGGAGGGAATAAGGATGATTTTTAGTTTCCTCTTTTTACTTGGTAGTTTCTAACTGTTTACAATGAAATGATTTATTCTCACAGCCGGAAGAAAAACAAAACCCAATGTTCCTTATTAAGAGGGAGATGTCTGTCTGGCGGGTGTTGAAGGGCGGTTGGCAGACGCAGCGTGTGGGGGCACAGTGAGCATCACTGGCATGAGTGTGATGAAGTGGGAACCAAAGGCTAATTCCAGGGGGCACAGAGGCTGGAGGAGTTGCCCAACTTTTCAACAATTGCCATCAAAGATTCAGAAAGCAGTGATCACTTATATTCGTAGAAGTATTTTTCATTACTTAATCCAAAGGGCAAGGAACACCATGAATTTAAACAATTATTGTGTAGCCAGAGCCTGTATAACAGAAAACGGGGTTGGACTGAAGTGTCACATTGAGTTACCCTGATGGTCCTTTGTGACAGTTGCCTCACTTTCTTGCTCCACCCACTTGGGACCAGTGGAAGGTAAGAAGAGAGGCCCATGAGGTCTTCACCTTTGAGTCCACACACAGCGGGAGCCCGTGAAAGGAAGACAGACCCTTGATCCAGGTGGGCCAGTCTGGAGCCAGCCCCCTGCACTCACTGGCTAAGTGTGGGTGGAACTGGGAGGGTTAGTAGTTTATTTGGCATAAACTCGTATGCAGATGCCTCTGTAACTAAACTCCCTTACACGGCATTCAAGAGAATCCCACTCTTTTCTAAACTCTGCTGTCTAGAAAGTCAGACTTGTGAAGGTGGGGGTGAGCTCCCACCTTTCCTAGACACGCGCCCGCGTTCTCTGGGGAGAACTCATTTAGGCATTCGAGACATGTCCTTGTGCCCCACTTCTTGAGTCACAGGATCCACCATTGCTCTGCCTCATAACGGAATGGTGGGTTCTCTGTTGAAATAGTGAAATGGAAACAGTAAGAATCTGCAAAATCCAAAAATGATTTTGCAAAGGCATCATTTTTCATGTTTGTGCTGACATCTTTCCAGAAGTGAAAGGATTTTTTTTTAAAGAAAATTTTATTATAATGAATCATAGCACAAAGAACATAGTAGGCACTTTATACATCTGTTGCATGAATGAGTTATTGAACCAAAGGGATAATAATAATGTATTCATAGAACATATTTTGAAGTTTAAAATATATTTTAAATGATACTGTATACTGCTTATGGAGACAGATGTGTGTTATAAAAGTACATAGAAGTGTGTGGGGTGGTAGATACTAGATTCATAACATTAGGTAGCAAGGAGGTGATGGAGAAGGTGGATTTAACTATTTCCAATGTTTTATTTCTTGAGTGTTGGATACATAGCAATGTGTCGTGTTTTTCTTTGTCATCTTGTATGCTTTAAATATTGCATGCTACACTTTAAATATAATCAAAACTACATTTAAAAATATCTCTAATATGAAGATTGCTTTGCTGGAGAAAAAGGAGAGGGCGGTAAAGTTGAGTAAATAGGCCTGTTTCTTCCCTGAGTTGGGCGCCTTTTTTTCATGTTGCTCACTACCTCCCACTCCCTTTCTTATCTGTATCAACCACTTCTCTCTTCCTAGACTGTCCCTTCCAGCGTTTCTAAGTAATTATATCTTCAGCTACCGGCTAGAAGAAAAATAGTTTGTGCATCAACATGGAGGCTCTTGATGAGAGCCAAGTGCCTTCGTTTCTTATAGGCACCACCATCTGCATGAAACAGTCGTGCTTCGTACATGAGAGGAGACGGCCGTTGGTTGGGCACCAACTCTGTGCCCATATTACACGTTACTTCACTTAATCCTCTTAATAGTCCGAAGTGTAGGTGGTAGCTTTCCTATTTTATAGACGAGCGATGGCGGCTTGGTGGTGCTTAGAAACTGGTCCAGGATAAGGTGCCTGTGGCAGGCGGCTGACCGCCGTTGCCCGTGTTCTCGCCCTGTGCTTCCAACAAAGGGATGGAGGTCCAGCCGTGTTTTGACTCTCCACCCTGTGACGAGTGGCACACATTTGGGAGGTGCTTGGAGGATTAAGGATACAAGCTGGGTGATTCCAGAGATCAGTGAACTTCTCTGGTCTGCAGGGGGTTCGGCTCATCACCCTGATGGTAACGGCAATGGTCCTGTGGTCTCCAAAGCAGGGTCCATGTACCCCAGCAGTGTGCAAGAAAATGCAGGAAGAACATATTTCATCCTTTTTAAAAAAACATATATATATATCTGAATATATGTTTATTGATTTCTGAGAGGAAGGGAGAGGGAGAGAGAGATAGAAACAATGATGAGAAAGAATCATTGATTGGCTGCCTCCTGCATACCCCCTAGTAAGGATGGAACCGGCAATCTGGGCATGTGCCCTGACCAGGAATCTAACTGTGACCTCCTGGTTCATAGGCTGACACTCAATTCACACCAGCTGAGTGATAGTTCATCCTTTTAAAATTTCTGTTTTGTTGTGTGTTTTATAATATACATAATGTTTTGGCATCGTAGTACATGTATATGATTTGCAGGTACATAAATGCCCATATATTGAATGCATGTGCTAAAAAATATTTTTATTAATAGGAGTGTGTGATTTTAAGTTTGGAGACTTTGCAAAATCTACTCAACTGAACTGGTCTGTCTTGTTTCCAGTCAACCATGATGTTAGTATTTGAGTGTTCAACGCACTCGAGTTTTCTAGCCCCGATGCGTGTCCTTTCTGGTGCTGAGTAAAGTTGGACGTGTGGTCACAGAGACCCTCTTGGGAATGTTGGTGAATCCTGAAGAATTGGAGAGGAAAACAGGAGGCAGGTAGCTATCTCACTTTTCAAGAAAACAGATTTCACAATGCCGACTTCCTGAAAAAGATGTAGAATGGGTTATTAAACAGATGGCTTATGACCAGTGAGGGGGAAATAGTGGTCTCTGGCAACTAGCATGGGTTCATCAAGAATGAGTCACGCCCAACTAACCTCATTTCCTTTGTAATACTTGACAGTAGTTTACTGACAGAAATCTCTTGTTCGTTCATTCTTTCATGCATACATACATTCATGGTCCACTTGGCAGGCAATTACCGAGCAGCTCTTGTGTTTAAAACCCCATGTTTCGATGGCATCTGGCAATGAACATATTGTAATATCTGCCCCCAAAGAGCTTTCCTTTTAATGAGAGAGACAAACATGTACACAGATAACTATAATGAAATAAAGTAACGTCTTAAGAGCCACATAGTGGTTATGTTACAAACAATGCAGTTGTATTATAAACAAACGTGTCCAGGAGTCAGCATGAGGAGAATGCTGTAAGGACAGGGACTCCTGATAGAGCGTAAGGACATCCATTTCAGCGAGGAAAGAAAACAGAACCTCGCTCTCTATTTCTTAATATCTCATTTCCGTTTTCTCTTTTGCCCATGCTTTATAGTGACAGAGTCTCTGAGGATGTTGCTATGGACAACATGGAGAAAAGTGAAGACATTTGGCTTGGATGATGGTTGTTAAGTGGCTTGAAACTAGTTGGGCAACCGTACTCAAAGTGGGTCACCTCATGGACCAATGCCGGCCCACGGACAGGGCTTAGGTGACGTGGTCCGGGGCCCCATCCTCAGCCGGGTGCTAATGAACTTCCCAGTTTCCAGTTGGCCTGCAGACATAGCCAGCTTTGTCACTGAACTCTGGGAAGGTGGAGCATTAAATGTATATCAGTGAATGGAGACCATAATTGCTCTCTGTCCTGTGTTTCGTCAGGGTCTCCAGATGAAAGCCTTGGAGAAACATGGATCAATGAAAGGTGTGTCTGGAGAAAAGAAAGGTAGCCGTAACAGCTAAGCTACATCTACTGAGCACAGGCTATGCGCAGCCAGCATGGCGAGTGCTGTGCAAGCATGATCTCGTTCAGTCTTCACAGAAGCCTGTGAGGCAGACGTTCTTGTTATTCCTACTGGACACGGTCAGGTTTAGGGAGGTAACCCAACCTGAGATGGAGCTGGAATTTAAGACGGAGGCTGTCCAACCACCAAGGCTGTGTGAAGGCCTGGGCTTGTGGCCGGGATGGAGGCGAGGCAGCCTGTGCGAGGTGGGGCGGCAGCTGCCCAGTGTGAGCATGAAAGCTGAGAGGAAGGTGGTGGCAGGTGGGACTGCGACCGGGAGGAGGGAGTCGCCAGGTGGTGGCCTCTGTACGTGAGGCAGGACCTTCCGAACCTCGGAGACACATCGTTTTGGAAGGTCAAGGGGCGGAGGCACCCCTCCTGGTCGGAAGAGGGATTCTGGTGCTAGATGACTTTCCTGGCTGTTTCCACGTGGAGTTCTGTGATCCTGTATGACTTGATGGACCTGCAGTCCCTGCGTGTAGACAGTGAAACCCATTAACAGAGACATGATCTGGCTCAGGGCAGCCTCCATGGAGGAGCCCAGATGGCCTCACGGTGGAAACCCAGTTTCTTTCCAGAGAGGCCAGGCCCATGACCCGAGGGGTGGAAGGAGCAAGTCTGAGTTGCTAGTCCCTGAGATTTGCTTTCTGGGCAGGAATAGAAGATAACCTTCCACCTTTATACCTCCTGTCATGGAACTTTGCCTTCACTGATGATTCCGCTGAGTTTGGACATTCAGCATTTGTCACTATGGCTACTTGCCTCCCCAAACACCGCCTCACTTTAGGAAATGCCAGACTATACATAATCAGACAACTGTGCCAAATCTGAGAGCACAGCTGACGATTTGAGGAGTCTAAGTGCCCTCCAGGCTGGAGAATGACCCTTGAACGGAATATTCAACACTTTAAATGTTATTGTCATTAGCTCAGGGGTACAGCTAGAATTTGGGGGTACCTGAAGCAAAATTAATCCTCTCTCTCCTTTCTTCTCTCTCTCTCCTTCCTTTATTCTCTCCCTCCTGCTCCCTCTCTCTGTCTCTTTCTCTATGCCTCACCCTAACACACACTCCTCTCATTCTCCAGTACACATGGGTTCACTGTAAAGTGATGGTGAGAGAACAGCAGTGATAAATTAACCCCAAACAACACGATTAATTTATTTTCACAAAGCAGGAGAAGCAGTGCAGCATGGGAGAATTGGGGATTTTGTCAGAAGAACTGATTCTGGCCTCAGTCACTGATTAGCTGTAGGACCACAGGCAACTCAGTTTTCTGAGTTTCAGTCCCTCATTTTGTAAAACAGAAGTAATACTGATACTTGTTAATGATCATAAAAACTCCAGGATTGCTTTGAGTATTACATACCGTAGTGTCTGTCAACATGTTTGCAAATGGCAAATTGCTCTACAAATGTACGTTATTACCACGATTATTATAAGATGGAGCCTCCTGCTGGCTTGGAGATTCCCACAGAGGTGTGGATTTGGTGTAAATGCAGTGTTTGTTTTATGGGTCCTCACAGGATTGGGGTAATTAGATGAATAAATCTCTGCTAAGCCAGCATGTGTAGCTGCCAAACCAGGTGGTCATGCCCTTAACTTGCAGTCAGTACAAAGAAGAACTGCAGGCAACAGGATCGCAATGGGGATTAACACTACTCCTCAATTGCCCAGCCAGTGTGGCTCAGTGGTTGAGCATTGACCCCATGCACCAGGAGGTTGTTGGTTTGATTCCCGGTCAGGGCACATGGGGCTTGATCCCCTGTAAGGGGGTGTGCAAGAGGCAGCCGATTGATGTTTCTCTCTCATCGATGTTTCTCTCTCTCTCTCCCTCTCCCTTCCTCTCTCAGTCAATAAAAAGATATTTAGGGGGGGGACAAAAAGACCACTCCTCAGTTAAGGACAGTTCTTGAAAGTATGTCACCAGGCAAGTGCGATCCCTGGATGGAGCCTCATTGCTGTGGTCAGTTGGGTCTGGTTGTCTGGGTGCAGGAAAACAGTTACATACATTTTCTGGAGGAAAATCAACAAAGTCTCAGAAATGTTCATAACCTCTGACACCAACCAGTCTTGAAAAATATCCGGGAAAGATCTTAAGGGAATAATCACCTTCAAGGACACAAGAGATTCATTGTAATGTTTAAGTTGGCAAAAGAATGAAAGGGAAGAACCTAAGTTCCCAGCAACAGAGGATGGACTAAATGAAGTAGCCAACAGCCCTAGGATGGCTGACCCTGCAGTCGTTAAAGACGATACAGACGTGTATTTTTCTCGTGTGAAAAAAATATTCCGATATTGTTAACAAAAGCAGGTGAGAAAACACCATGAGTTCTATTTCTGGAACTGAGTAGGTATGTTAATATGTGTTATGTGTGCATTCTTAAAAGTCTGTGGGGATGGTCACTAGAATAACAACACCAGGTAACATTTCTTGAGCACTCCCTGCGGGGCAGGGCTCTGCACATGTGCTACCCGTTTCGTCCTCTCAGCGCCCTCTGGGAGTGAGCATCCGTACCTTCTCCTGGCGGAGGTTGCTCAGGGACTGAGAGAAGTCGGTAAGGTGTCCAAGGTCATGCAGCTCCTAAGGGCAGAACCAGTCTGTGTGACGCAGAAGCCCAGGTCATGACCCTGTTCCCACACAACCTTCGAGTCATAATAGTGGTTATATTGGGACAGTGAGTTTGTGAGTTATTTTATCACTTTTTCTAAACAATCTGATTTTTAAAAAAGTTTATCTTGTGATAAATCCCATTACCTGTGTATTTAAAGAAAATAGCGTGTTCCCACCAAATGGATAGGTTGCGGAAATCAACTCAGGGAAATCTATGATGCTCATGGAGATGAATGGGTACCAGAGGCTACTGGGATTTTGAAAAACCGGAAAGAAAACCCACAAAAGCTCATTGAATTGATTTGTCAGGAACAGGGGAATACATAAGCCAGGTCGTTTGTCACTGCTGACACACACCGTCTAGAAGCATGACTATTGTGTCCTTTGATAATGATAAAATGCTTTCAGATCGAGCACTTATGGTCCTTATAACGATCCTGTGAAGCAGGCAGAGAGGTATCTTATACCCATTTCATAGATGAGAAGAAAGGAGGCTCAGAAAGGGTAGGTGATATGTCCCAGATTCCGTAGTCTGAAGTAACAAAGGCTGATTAATAGATATTTTTTGTATCGAAAATTCATGGGACTGAGAAATACCACATTCAGGCTAGTTATTATTACCTCTAGGACAGAGATGGATGGGATTGAGGTGCATTGCATGGGGGCTTCCGTAGTATATAATATCTTACTTCTTCTAAAAATCTGGCCAAATTTAATGAAGCTGAGAAGCACACACATGAGTGTTTGTACAGATAGTTCCTGTAATGTTCTTTTTGTTTGATATATTTCATGATAAAAATTTTAGCCCAGCCGCCATGGCTCAGTGGTTGAGCGTTGACCTTTGAACCAGGAGGTCATGGTTCCATTCCCAGTCAGGATACATGCCTGAGTTGTGGGCTCCATCCCCTTGGGGGACATGCAGGGGGTAGCCGATCAATGATTCTCTCTCATCATTGATGTTTCTCTCTCTCTCTCTCTCTCTCTCTCTCTCTCTCTCTCTCTCTCTCCCTCCCCTCCTCCTCCTCCTCCTCTCTCTCCCTCTCCCTCCTCTCTTAAATCAATAACAAAAATGTATTTAAAAAAAATTTAAAGTAAGAGATAGATGCACAGAAGGAAAGGCTGCATGGAAATACATCACAATGTTGGGGGTGCCGAGGGAGACAAATCATATGCAATACCCTCCGTTTCCACATTTTTGTCAATGAGGATGCCATTACTTTTATAATAAAACATCTAAAAACCTCTTCTATCAACTTATTTATTCATCATCTTGTAAAAATGAACATTGAGACAAGAACACTGGAAACATTCAGCAGCCAGATGTTGAATCCCATACCTGTGAAGGAACATGGATTGCCTGTGAACTGAAAGTGTTAATTCTGAAGCAAAATGGCAGACTCGGCCCGCCCCCCCCCCGCCCCCCCCTGCATCCAGAAAGCCTGATCTGAAAGCTGGCTCCTCCTCTTCTTGAGTAGGTTTCTTGCTCTCCCCTTACCTCCATTTCCTCGTCTGTAGGCGGAGCCTAATGATGATGAATACCTCAGCGTCATCATGAGGATGATATGGGTGAGTGTCGAGTGCCCTGAACGGGGCCTGGCACACTGTGTGGAAGTTTGCACATAAAAACATGAAACCAAGAGGAGAGGGGCATGTGAAGGGCTGGGCGGGGGGAGTGCTGGCCTTTTAGGAGGTCCTCACAATCCTTGCACTTGACAAGTTGGGACAGATTTTGTGGGTTCCTTTCATAGATAGAGCCCTGGCCGGTGTGGCTCAGTGGTAGAGCATCAGCCTGCGCACTGAAGGGCCGCGGGTTTGATTTCCGGGGAAGGGCATGTACCTGGGTTGCAAGTTCATTCCCCAGCCCCTGTCGACTGGGGCCCATGTGGGAGGCAACCAGTCAATGTCTCTCTCACATCACTGCTTCTCTCTATCTCTCCTACCCTCCCTTCCACTCTCTCTAAAAGTCAACGGGAAAAATATCCTCAGGTGAGGATTTTTTAAAAAAGAAGAAAGATATTATATGGAAGAGAACTTGTGAAAGCTCTTGGCAGCAGTCTGCTGACAAGGGAGTGACAAATGTCACTTCAACCCACATCATATAATGTGCCCATCCTTAGCCTGACCATCACGGCGAACACTGTTCCAGGGATGAATGTTATGAGTCCAGATCTTTAAGATCAAGCTGCTTATGGGACCTGCCCTTTGGCCTGGTGGTTTGGTTTGTCCCTTCTGTGTCTGGCTTTTTCCCTTTTCATGTGTCCATGAGACAGAAGCTTAGGTGGCCCTCTCGGGGGTAAATTCTGAGGCACCTTGGCTCCCAGGGACACTGAGCTGCTGGAGTTTGGGGGCTCAGGGAACTGACAGAGACCATCCTGCCGCCAGAAGCACCATACGAGGACCTTGCAGAATCAAGCCTGCCCGGCCTTCTACCCTTGCCAAAGATTTGGAATTACAGCTTTTACGCACAGAGCATTTTCTAAATCACTGCCACAGTCCATGATTACTTGTTGGCGTGTTCTCCTCCCAGCTTGGGAAATCTGAGAAGAAAGCTGGTGTTCGTCTTCTGGGTGGTGAAATGCCTTCTTGCTCTTATCATCCGGCTGGTGGCATCCACGGGTCCATTTCGGGACCTTTGCTGAACTCGCCGTGTAGCCAACCTGCTGCGACTCCATACCATCCCTGCGCCCGAGTGGGCCCAGGGCAGCGCTCAGCCCTCATGACCCAGCCTGGCCCAGCCTGTTGCCAAATGAGACCACTTGTCCTGTGTGGAGTTCTTTGACACCATGCCTACCGTGACCTGCTTCTTTTGTACGTGTTCGCTTCCTGGCTGCCTCACAACAACAACAACAACATCCCCCCCAAAAAGCCATTGTTTTGAAATCTGTGCTTCCAAAGACGTCAGCTAAGGACTTGTGCTCTCATGACTGCGGCGATGTTATTTTTAGTCAAAATGTGGCCTCGAACGTGCTCTGCCCTCCCCACGCCACATCAGGTGCTGGTCGCCCTGAGATGCCAGCCTCGGCTGCGGGCTTCCCAGCTGCTGTGGACACGGCGGGTCACCGGCGGGCGGACCTTGGCAGGCCCGTTTGGACCCGCAGGGGGGCTCGGAGCCAGATGGCTGCCTCTTGGGGGACCTGGAGCGGCCTCAGCCCAGCAGGAGGCGGAGAGGCACGGGAGGGAGGCTGGAGGCCTTGCTCAGGCAGGACGGAACCCGAAGGTGTCCGTGCATCTGGAGAACCGTAAATGTGGGTGTATTACACGTCAGCGGCAGCCTCCGTGTCAGGGAGGCCGCTCCCAGATGCCGGGGTCCTGCTGCCATCCTCCAGGCTCAGTGTCCGCTCCTCTGGGTCATCCATGCCCTTCACCAGCCACCGGCTGCCACGCCAGGGCACAGTGTTCTCACCGGATAAAGCCACGGGGTGCGTGCCACCTCGGCCCCTTGCGCAATGGCCGGATGTTGCAAAAGAAGCCTTCCAAGCCAGGCCTGCAGGAGGGGCCTGGCCCAGGCTGGCCGGGCAATCCCCACGTCCTGGCAGCGAGTGTGGGGCGCTGCCTTGGCCCCCAGGAGCGCGGTTCGTGGTGACTCACCTCTGGTTCCCAGGAAGGTTGTTATTTTTGGCCCCAGTGTTTTAAGATTGTGCCTAGATTCCCTCACATCAGCAGCTGAGGCACAGGGCCCTCTGTCGGGCACGTGGAAGGACAGAGGGTCAGGCCACGTGTCCTGAAGACCCAGGGCTGGGTATGCAGAGAAGGCCATTGGCTCCGGGGAGAGTGCTGGGGCCATGGAAGGAACGCTGCCCTCATCCGGGGGCATCGTGTCCCCTAGGAGCCAACTCCAGGCAGCCTGGCCTCTGAGGACTCCTGAGCCCCATGCTCTCGGCAGCCAGCGGAGGGGAGAGGGCGGCTGGGGCTCCCCTGGGCCCCTCAGCACAGCTGTGGAGGGGCTGCCCTGCCTTGCTCCTGCCCGAGGAGCCTTGGGCAGAGACTGTGCTGGCTGAGGCCTGGTATGCAGCCAGTCCAGTGGTTGAGCGGGAGCAGACGAGGGCACCCCTGTAATCTGCAGGACGCAGGTGGGCGCCTCCCCTCTGCCCGCGCCCCTGCTGCTGATAAGCCTGCCCCAGGGCCTCAGAGGCCCCAGGCGCCCGCCCCGCAGAGCAGCGGTGCCACCGCAGCCCCAGCTGTTCCTCCAGCAAAGCGCACCTGCCCCTCGAGGGATCCTGGTGAGGGACCCAGCGGCATGCCCTGCCCGATGGGCCTCTGCAAAGTGAGTTCTTAGCAGCTGCTGCGAGGGGGCGGGTGGGGCCCGGGAAAGGTGAGGAGCCCGCCAGCGGCTGCGCGGCCCCAGGGATGGGGATGTGACAGTGTGTCACCCAGGGCGGCTCTGGGCCTCATAATTACATCTGCGCTCACTCGCGCTGTCGCTGGAGGCCTCCGTGGCCTCTGCTTGGCTCCGTTAGTCCAGCTCGGACTGTTTACAGCACGAGGTTTGCTGTCAGATTGAGTTCCCCCTCCCTGGGTCTCTGAGTTATGCTCTCTCTGCACTAGAGGTTGGGAAGAACTACCTTTGGATTATAGTCTTTCAGTTCATCTATTGGGGTTCTGGAAGTTTCTTTTGACTTTACTGAGCAATGTATTTTTCAGGTGTGTTAACATAGGCCCTGAGGGAGGATAAGGGTACCTGTGAGGGTGGCTGCTCTGCTGTGGGGACCTGGGTCACCCCCATTTGGAAGGAGCTTGCTTGTGTCCTCAAAGACCCACAAAAGCCAGTCACCTCGCTGTCATACCTTCTCCATTCCTGAAACACGGAATTGTGAGGGTTAGGTTGCTAACTAACTAGAGCAGTGGTTCTCAACCTTCCTAATGCCGCGGCCCTTTCATACAGCTCCTCAGGTTGTGGTGACCCCCAACCATAAAATTATTTTCGTTGCTACTTCATCACTGTAATTTTGCTACTGTTATGAATCGTAATGTAAATATCTGATATGCAGGATGTATTTTCATTGTTACAAATTGAACATAATGAAAGCATAGTGATTAATCACAAAAACAATATGTAATTATATATGTGTTTTCCGATGGTCTTAGGCGACCCCTGTGAAAGGGTTGTTCGACCCCCAAAGGGGTCGCGACCCACAGGTTGGCGACCCACAGGTTGAGAACCACCGAACTAGAGGAAGGAAAGTCTAAGGCAGAAGGGCAAAGAGCGTCGGCGTGGCTGTGGGAGATAGGGTCTGATGGATATTTTACAGTGATAGCGGAGTGCCACAGAGGGTTGCTGGTGCCCCACCCCTCCCCGGCGATGATAGCACCTATCACTGTCCAGCAGCACCTGGCTGTGCTGTTTTTAAACTGTCCGGTGCCAGGGAGGGGCTCAGGGTCTTGGTGGTGGATTCGGAGGCCAGAGTTGGACCCCAGGCCACATGCTCAGAGGGACCCTCGTCTAGTGGCCAAAATGTACTCTACCACTTGTCTGAAAGTCTTTGGGTGTCAGGATGCAACATTAAGTGGGAATTTCTTTCCAGTGGTTTGGCATCTTTGAAATGTGTCTTCTTGATGATTGAGTCCCCTCCCCCTCCCCCCAACCCCCCCCCCCCCCGCCCCCCGCAGGAAGGGGGAGAGTGTGTGGGGGAACCGGGGTCTCCTGCTCTTAGTTCCCGGCAGTGCGAGCCAGGGTCCGTTCACCTGAGTCTTTTCTTTCCACGGGACACCCCCAGGCCGCAGCTGAGTGCTGAGTCTCGGGGGCTGCTCGTGACAGATCTCAGAATGCAGGGGAGCGATTGAGCGGTGCAGGGACCCAAGGGCTGGCTCCAGACCCGAAGGCAAGCCCAGCGTTTTGCAGGAATAAAGAATGCCTTATGCACAAAATATCTTAAATCCCCAGGAGTACTTTCACCAACCCAGTAGCTGTGGGACAGCCGCTTTGTACTGCCTCAGTGTCTTTTCAATCTGGGAACTGGGTCTGTGGTGAGGCTGAATCCGAAAGCACTAGAAAAGGAGCCGAAAGCCTTCAGGGTTGTTTTTATAAACAGGGTCGTGTAAGCTCAGCTGACCCTTGACTTCCAGGGTCAGTTGTAATTCGTTTTTAGGCTCAGGTTCCACCCCTCGCCCCAGTGTAATTTGGCCAGTGGCTGCAGTGTCAGTGGACTTACTTTGAGTTTAATCTAAGCGACACATATTTAGAAAGGTGGGATTTGTTGTTGTGGCTAAAAAAAAAAATAAAAGAGAGAAAGTCAGAAAGATAACCGAGTTCTGGCTAAAGGTAAAGTAACAGAACACCTCTGACCTCCGGGTCTGCGAACACTCACCCCACCCCTGCTTGTGTGGGGTCCTGGGGTGGGCACTGGAAATAGAGCCCTGTGAACCAGGACACAGGCCCCTGCTCTGTGGAGCTCACCTTCCAGCGGGCCCAGGAGACAGACTCAAACAAAATACGCGCGCTCTCATCTATTAAAGACGAGAAGGGCCGTGGCCGGGAGCAGCCAGGGGAGCAGCGGAGGAGTTGTGCGATTTGAGTAAGGCACTCCGGGAAAGCCTCAGTGCGGTGTGCGCTGGCCGTTGTGTTGCCAAGTTGGATTCTGCATGACCATTCCCT